ATGGATTATGTCAGTGGTTTGGGCAGTGGTTTGTGAACAGGCTCCAGGCTGCTGTTGCTTCCTCAGGGGAGATGGGGAGAGCCTGATGTGTCTGCTGGCTAAAAGCTTGGCAGAGAGCAGGCTGGGCAAAGCAGCTGCTGCTGGGCTGGGGTCTGGCATTACCCATGGCCTGCTTCTGTGCTTAATGAGCTACCTTATCTGTCATGTTCCCCATGGCAGATGGGGTCTCTTCAGGATTAATTAAGGATCATAACTGTGACCTAGTTACCAGACTTGCACTATTGTTACTGGAGCTCTTTGCTGTTTGAGAGCACTTCTTACCCTTGCCTGCTCTGGTTACTCGCTCCATATATCCTCCTGGGACTGACTCTGAGCCCCAGGCAGGATCACATTACATTAATTTCTCTAATAGATCCCTGCTTTACCTGTGGTAACTGGCTGCTTCCTGCTTGCAGTGCACCACTCGGTGTGGGGATGAGAAATGCTGGCACACATCTGTCACAGGGTTGTCTCCCGTTTGGGAGCAAGGGGAAAGATCAGCTGCAAGATTAGGGATGATGGTACTGGACAACATCTTGATAGCTCAGTTCTATGCTGCCATGCCTTAAACCATAAGAATGCTGAAAGGTTATCCCAGGTTCTCTCTTCTTTTGGCTGCGCAAATCTTTCTCATTTCCAGTTTGTGCTTTATTGTAGTAAGCCTTTAGGGATGCTTCCCGTGAAGAAGCAGAAGTGACTAGAGCTCAAGAAGTTAATTGAGTTCAAGCTCTTCTAACCCTGCTTCTTGCCTGCCAAATTTTCAGACAGAGCACTGTTCTAGCCGGGAAGAGTGTCAGTCTCAGTCCTGTATTCCTGTGGTCTGCAGACCTGCTACAACCCAATCCTTCCTTCAGCTGGGGATGGGATGCACCACAGGGATCATGGTGGGGACTTGTCCCCCTGCATCTTCCTGCTCTCTTTCCCTCCCTTTGCTGCTGGTTTAATGGGAGCTTGCCTTGCCCACTGGATGGAGTCCTATGCAGCTGGGCCATTGCACGAGCTCACAGCCTCGTGCACCAGGGCTGCACATGGCTCATTTACTGTTCACGTGAGAAAGGTTTATGTTCCTGAAGCTCCTCTCAGTGCCCCATGGATCTGTTCCTTAACTAACCTGATGCTCTGCTCAGGGTCTGATCACATCCCCAGTGGGATCCCAGCAGTTCCCGCTGATTTTGGATGGAGGAGCACAAAGGAGGCTGTTTAGTGGGACCCCTGGGAAACAGCACTTCACTTTGTCCTCAGAAGCCCGTGTGGAGGGAGAACTGCTCGGCTTTTCTCCTCTGCCTTGAAAAACATCTTTTGTTCCAGTGACCTGCTTATTATGTAGGTCAGCATCAACTGGAAAAGAAAAACAATTTCAAAAGTAGGAGAAATATAGCAGGGTTCCTCTGCTGAGCAGTTCTTTCTGGAAAAGCAGGGAGAGTTGTCCTGGGGGAGGTGGCAGGTAGCATGGCCTGTTCCTCTTCCACCCACCCTGGGCAGGGCAGTTGTAAGCTTGGTTTTGTAAAAGAGGAAGTGATTTCTGCTGGTCTTTACCTGTGTCTGCACAGCAGAGACCAGTGCCATGTTGCTGGAGGAGCAGTTCCTGCTGGGAGACAGCTGTCCTGCCAGGGTGAAAAGGGGACACAGAACAAGCAAATGCCTTTGAATGCCAAAAGTAAAACTGGGACCTGAACCAAAATTCATCTCAGTGTTGTGCCAGTGCCATTACCCTGGGGCTGCTTCACTGTGCTTGTAGCAGAGCTGACACCTTGTGATACCCACTGAGCAAAAAAGCACTTAGCATAAACTCTTGACTCCTGTAACCTAAGCAGGGGACAAATTGCTCTGTGCACAAGAGGTTTGGTGAAGTCCAACTTCACACATACTTGCCTCTGATGCAGTGACTCCTAATATCCCTTAGTATCCTCACTTCTCTCCCAAATCCTCTAATAAATAGCAACTGGGCAGGAGACATCCTGTGCCCTGGCTACTTCCCAGTTGGGAAAGTGTGTGTGTGTGTGTGTGTGCCTGCTGCCCAGCCAGCAGGCAGGTAGAGAGCTGCAGCCCTTCCTTGGCAGGAGCAGGAATGTAGCTCCCCTCTCTGCCTACTCACTGAGGGATTTCTCTTTTCCTTCAAAATGTGTAGAAGTGCTCATTTTGAGACAGCCAGTCTTGACAGGAGAAGCAAAAATCACTCACAGGCTTCACTAGTATCTAAATGAGACAACACAATCTCATAATTGTTACCTTAGAAAATGAGATTTCAGTATGCTGATTTTTGGCAATGAAAAGGTGTATGGGGAGGTGGGTTGTGCAGTGAGCAGAGGGCTCTGCCTGCCTCTGCTGTTTACTGGGTCCTCTGCCCATTCACCCAGGCTAAAGCTGAGTGCTTGAAGCCTCTCCAGTTGCAGAAGGCTCCTGGCACAGACTCTTGTGCTTGAAGGTGCACTGACCTTTTCCAGAACACAGGTTCTTGTAGAGCTGCTTGCTCTATTTCACATGCAGCCTCCTGCAGCCTTTGCTCCTCACTTTATACCAGCATGTGCTGTGCTGACTAGATAAAGCATGTTTGTCTGTGACTGGACTGTCCTTCTTCTTTAGCATCTTGATCTTGGTGGTTTCTATTTAATATCTGCAGAGCTCTCTGTGGATCCCAGTTCTGCTGTCTAACCCAAGGGTAGGCATTCCTTGTCTCATCACAGCACAGTTGTCTGTAGAGAAGTCAATGCAGGAAGCAACACAGCAATGAAATTTTGAACAGAATGACACTTTTTCACCTACAGTAAAAGGACTTCTCCCATGCTTTGTGCACTCACACGGAGCAGACCATTAAGGAAGCAGGCAAGCAGGCATGTGTCTTAGCTGGAGGCACTGCCATGTGATCTGCCACAGCCTGGAAGTCTTAGTCAAGATGTAGGATTAGGGTACATTACTAGCACAAGATTTTCTGAGTTAGCAGGGGATGGGTTCCCTGAGGCTGGGGTTGTCACATTGGCTTGGTGGGTCCTTGCACAATGAGGCTGCTGTGTGCTGGAGACAGCAGAGTGCTGGAGCTGCCATGTACTTGTGGTGAGAGCGTGGAGGATGGCCTGTTATCTGTGCTTGGAGGAAGGGTTTGATTAGAAACTGTCTCATAAATGTGTGGTTGTTGAATGAGCTGCTCCTTCAGTGTGCACGAGCCATCTCCATGTACGTGACAAGTGCATCTGTCCTGGGCAGAGAGGCAGCTACTCTAAAGGAAAGCAGATGAGCTTTCCTCATCACAAGCTTTTCCTCATCAAGCTTTTTCTAAATTGCTCCCTGCATGGAGCAATTCTCCAACAATATTAAATACAGCAGAAAGGATGAGTCAAGCAGATCTTGTCAAGGCTGACCTATTTTTTTCTCTTTTTGGTTTTGTTATAAATTGAATCCACTGTGTCACAGGGCACAATGCTGTTCTCAGCACGATTGGTGGCAACAAATAGCTACCCAGGAATTATATGTATTGTGTGGTAGCTGGGGAGAATCTCTTGTTCCCAGCATCTCTGACCTGTCTGTGACTTGTCATGAAATTGTGGAACTTAAATAATGGATGATTGGGCTGTGAGAAAATAATTTTAGCCACTGGTTAACTGAGTTTACTTATGTGTGTCTCATTGTCTTCAGAAACTGATGAGGTAATAAATTTAGTAAGATGAAGTGTCCAGCTCAGGTTCTTAAATGGGAAGCAAGGCAACCTGGTGTTGCAATGAATGGTGATGCTTTCCTGAGGGAATAATGGGTGTTACTGTCCAGACATAAACCAGTCCTGAGATATTAGAAGGCAGGTTGAGTCCTGTGCAGGCAGCCTGGGATTCTCAAACCTCTTTGGGAAGTGTCTGGTGTTGTTTTGGATAAGACATGAGGTCAGGTGGCCTTGGACTTGACCTCCTGACATGGAGGCATCAGCAACACTCTGCCCAGCCTGGGGCTCTGCACAGCTTTCTGTTGTGACAGCACATCTCCCGTTTGCTCAACTTTGCTTAGCTCATATCAAGATAAGTCTTGATATTGTTTAACACAGGTTTGCACCCAAACCACGGACAACAGTTTAACGGTTACTGTAGCTTTAGATGTTGCCAAACTTGTGGGCAGTGGGAGAGCTGTATTGGAACATGGAGGGTCTTTAAAACACCAGCCTGGGTCTTAAAAAATGATTTGGGATGCTGGTGAGTAGCTGTCCCACCAGTTACTTGTCTTGCAAACTTCAATTGTCCGATGAATGAATCAACTTTCATTTGAATTAATCTTGAAGTAAAGGGTGCCTGAAGAAGCAAAACAACTTGGCTGTTTGTGCTGCAGTGAGCTCGCTGCAACCTGGAGTTACTCTTTCCCACAGATCCCCCACCCTGCCAGTGCTCAGGCAGGGATTCCACCTCTGGATTGGTGCAGTGGTCCCAGCCCTAACCTGGACTGCCCAGGGTGGGAGTGAGGAGCACAGATGGGCCCTGCTGGGCAACAGAGGAAGGACCTGGAGATGACTGTGTGCCTCTGGATGCATGTTGAGGGAGGTGAGGAGGCAGCCTCTGTCCCTGTCCCTGCACAGTTGTCTTGCCCAGACACTGCTGAGTAAAGTGGGCAGGACACCCTCCCTAGGGGGTGGCTTAATTACAGCCAGACAAAGCCTTGGTGATCACAGCCTCCAGTAAAGCCTCTGACATCTCTGGTTGCTCATCCCAGTGGAATGGGACCGTACAGGGCACTGTCTTCACAGCTCTCTTGTGCTGGCTGAAATTGTGTTGGGGGGGACAAGAAAATAGCCCAGTGTCCCAGCATGAATCAGCCATCCATTTACATACAGCTCCTGCTTCTCCAGTGGTGCCAGGCAGTCCTGCACGGTGATGGGCACAGATAAATAACTGACTCTCCTCTTGTGACAGGAGGGTTTATGCCAGGCAGTTGTGGCTGGCTACTGTTGGTGACAGGAGAACATGATTGGGACTGAAGAGCTCCCCTACTCTCTGGGCATTCAGGGCTGAAGATCTGATTGCTAGGTCATGACTGTTGAAATGTTTTGGGTTGGAGGTTCAGCCTATATCCCTAGGAGTTGAGGAGATGAGCCTAGAAACAAGAATTTTCTGATTTGGTGTCTTTTCAGATTGGGTTTTGCAATTCTGTCGTGTTTTAAAGGACTTTTGCTAGGCCGTTATACAATTTGCTACTGGCTTCCTTTTCCATCTGTTCAAAGCTCAACTTCATGGTGGCACACAGTTATGCTGTGGTTGTGCTGGCCAACTACCAGTGGCTTTGAACGTGGTGGCCATTCCTCACTTCAGTCAAAAGCTCAAAGAACAGTAAAGCTTTTAAAGGTTCCTAAGGGATCTCTGAAACCACAAAGCCAGTGGATAGAGACCTTGCTGTACACTGGCCAAGAAACAGGATGCAGCAGGCTCAAGCCATATAGTAGCCATGAGGAAAAAACAACAAACACAAACATGCAGAAACTAATTATCCAAATACTAAATGCATGAGGGACCTGGTTTCCTTAGGTCTGCCGTTGATGGAGCTCTTTGCATGGCAGAGGAAATGAAGTTGCTTGCAAAGTAGAAACTAAATGAGTGGAAAAAATATCTGGATTGCCTGGAACTATTTGTCAGTAGTGTAAGGCAGACAAAGTTTAAACATTAATTTCTGTCTATCTCTTCTGGGCTTTTTTTCACTTGCCCGGTGCTAATTCAGTGTAGCAGTCTGGAGGGTGGGATGGCACACGCAGTGCTGAGGGCAAGAGGTGCTTTTGGGTGAGGATACAGCGTGGATCATCCACCTTTGTGGGATACCCTGCCAGGCCAGGGCCGCTGGTGCCAGGTAGGCCAAGTGCCACCGAGCTGCTGGAGGGGGTGTGTGCTCTGCCTCAGGCAAGATGCTGCTCACAGCAGGAGGGTTTGGCCTTGGCAGCCAGGGCTGCTGCCTCGGTGAGATCCCCTGGTGCAGCCAGGCCCCTTCTGTACGGTGGTGTCTGGACAGATGAGAAGGCGATGACTGAGCCTGTGCTATAACCCCTGCCCTGGGTTTCTCCAAGCCCCTCACTTATGAGTCACTGTTTGTTTATTTACTGAGCACACGCAAACCATATCAATAGAGTGAGGCTGTTACAGACACTGCTGTTTGGACATCAGGCTGTTTGCAGAGCAGAGGCAGAGTAGTTGCACAACCTCTGTAAGTGGTCGCCCATTCCTAAGAAAACCAGTCAGATAACTCAGTTTGTCCACCTGACCAATTGCTTTAGCCCAATGACCTGACTCTCTGCTTGCTTTTACTGTGTAAGGGGTTTGATTTTCCTGCTGCAAATGTGTGAGCTTTGTATCATCTTTCCACCTCCCCTACTGCATAAAAACATTAAGTCAAAAGCTGTAAGAGCATCACATCCTTATGGCTGCATTTCACTTGGGAAGGGGCTGTATAAAAGGTATGAGTAACTTAAAACAATTTAATGTGGTTACTTGTGATTTTAATTTTTAATGCTAGAGCTTCCTCTCCACAGTCTAAGCCCTAAGCCCCATTAGGAGTGCTGGTATTACCAGCAGAGCAGTGACCAAGGCTCAGCTTTGGGTGCAGTGTTTAGTGCTGAACTACACTGCACACGGATATTCACCTATGTAAGAGCTTATGGTGGGGTTGGCACCAGGAACCTTTATAAATATGACATCTGGAGGTAAGATGCAGGTGTGTCTTTATAGCAGCAAGGAATTGTTCCTGTAACCATGCAAGAAATATATATATATATACAGCAGTTAGAGTAAAATGAGGCTTTGCTGTTTGGTTGAAGTTGTAGGATCATGGCAACCCACTTCAGATGTTGAAGACAATCTGCTTTAGCACAGTCCTCAGCTTAGATAACAGGCCACAGGTAGGTGCTAGTTGTTGAGCTAGCTTAAGAGAGCTGGGAATCTCTGTTTATAATTAATGTAAATAAGTCATGATGGAAAATTGTCATCCTCCTCTTCTTTGAGTCGTTTTTATCCATGACACCAATGATTGCAACATCAGTGTGAGTAATCCCATGCATGGGATTTATCCAAGACTCTGTTTCATCCAAGGTTTGACTGTTTGTTTGCAGTGTTGTAATACTTTACAAACAAGGAGCAGAGCAGCCCTGTGCGGAGGTGTCTGCTCCCTTTGGGGATGGTGGCCTGTCTTCTTCTCATGCTCACAAGAGACAGGAGGAGGAACTAAACACATGACACACTTTAAGAAACGAGCCTGTAAAATCCCACACCACCAGGCAAGGCTTTGTTTTGCACAAACATTGAGCCCTGAATACTTCAGTCTTGGCTGACTACGTGTGACAAGCGAGTCAGACCAAATGTCCATCCAGCTAGCAGCAGACGCTAAGGGAAGAGGCTGGTTTGCACTGTGCTCTTGGCAATGCCCTGAGCCAGAGGATACAGCCCAGGAGTAAGAAAAAATAATAGTGTTAAGTGTTAAAAGAATAAAAGTGCTGGTGAACCCATTCTGCCTTGATCTAACCCTTTTATGAACTTGACTAGTTTAGATCTGGAACCTGGCAATGAGTTACACAGCTCTGTGTCATTTGGAAATTAACTTCCTTCTAAGAAAATAGATTTTGTGTTCAATGTCAGCTGCTCTCTCCTGCCCTCTAGAACAGCATATCACCCTGCCATAAAACTTGCTGGTCTTTACTCTCAGGGTTTGAAAGGCATACGGTTTCGCTTTGGCCAAGTATCCTATAATGTCAACAGCTTGCATTTCTGACATCTTTTGCCACGGTGTGAAGTGTTTATGGCAACTATGCTGTGCTAGAGGGTTTTTTCCCTGAAGGTCAGGGTAGCTGCAGATGAAATAGCCTGTCCCTCCCTATGCCAGCCCTGTGCTGTACCTCTGCAGTTTCTAATAAATGTTTGCTGATTAGAATAATTACCCTTGGAGTAAATTGAGAGAACTAAATGCTGCCAACCCTAATTGTTCAAAAAGTTACTTACCAAGTCAGGTCCTACCCCTCTGCCTTATAATTAGGAGCCCTTTTGGTGGACCTAGGTTTGCAAGGAGGACCATTTTGCATAACTAGGAAAACAAAACTGTATACTCTAGGCATGAAGTTTTCCTGCCCCCTGAAATCAGACACTGTCTCTCTTCAGGTGAATACAAAATACTGAAAGATGCGTAATGAAAAATAACAGGAGTTGGAAGCAACTGGCCTCAGCTCTAATTATAACAGTGTTCAGCCACTGCCTGCACTTGGCAGAGGTACTGGCTTCTGTGAACAACTCACCCAGCTTGAACCATGCTTGGCCATTCTCCAGGTTTAGTGTGGCATTTTTCTGGGCAGGCAGCACCTTTATCATGCTGGTTCTCCAGGGAAGTCCCTCACACAGAACAAATTTCAGTGGATCACTTCCTCATTCTGCTCTTCTGCTTCTACTTTCTCAGGCTAAAAGCTGGGCAGTAGCCATATGGCCCCTGAACTGGCATAAGCACGAATGCAGCTGTGGCAGAGGCTGTGGAGCCTCCTCACATCAGTGGAAGGTCTGGTCCTTCTGTGCAGTGGTGGTTATTCAAGGAACCAGGCAACCCCTGAGGAGCAGCTGACTGTGGTATTCCCCGTGTTCTCCTCCTGGCTGCTTGGAGCACCCTGAAGCCCAGCAGGTATTTTCCACTCAGCTGTGGTAGCAGGCTGTGTAGATAAATAGCTACATATTCAGCAGGCTGAGCAGAAGGGCCTGTGTGTGTCTCCATTTAGACTGGTCTGGACTTTGTCATGTTTTGCCTCCCCTTTCCAGATGTTTCCTTCTGCACTTCAATAAGGCAGGGTACGGCATCACTTTTGGTTTTGTCTTTGGAAGAGTAAACAAAACAGAAGGCCAAAAGCTAGCTACTCAAAACACATTCCTCTGCTGTGACTGGGGAAAAATCTTGACTTCAGATACAGTCATCCACTGTTTGCATTGCTCATTCTCCTGGCAGGGGTTATGGCTTTGTCTGCCTCACTTGGTTGAAGCCTAACCTTTCTGATGTTTCCATTTTTGAAATGCCTGATGTGCTGTTTGTTCTTCCCATGGATCCTGGGTTTCAGCTGCTTCCCACATCTCTGGGAGATGATAAAAAGAGATCTCATACAATGGGTCAAGGTACAGTTCTAGACAGGAATGTGCTTGATCTTGACAGGGCTTGGTTTATCTGTCAGGCTCATTGCAGGCCTGGCATTGAGCTGAAAGGCAGAGGCAGAGGAATGTGTCTGCTCTCCAAGAGGGAGTAAACCTGACCAAGAAATGCAGGGCTGGGTGACTTGCAGTGGGACATAAATTCTTCTGAGAAGCCCTAAGGTGCTGCAGGAGACTGGCTTCTCCTACATCTCAGGATGACTCCAAGCAGCACATCTGAAACTCATTGAAGCTGTAGCACTTCCCTTTTTTTTTTAACTTGTCCATCTTCCTGTGACAACCAGCTGCTTTCTTCCTCTTTCTGTTTTCACAGGAGAAAACAGAACAAGTTGTTTCCTGAAGGTGGAGTTGGGAGAGATGGCTGTGATCACTGGGTCCTGCCCCTTCATTCCAAAGGGTTTGTCCTGCTGCCAACAACTACGTGTTGCTGTTCCTTGGTTTCTGTGAGTGCTTGCTGAGCTTCGCCCTTGGAGCAAGCCTGATTTGCTGAGGATATTCAGGAGATAAAGTGATATCCAGAAGCTGAATATAGGCACTTTTTAAGGGTCGGGACATGTTAGGAACTAGCCTGTTGAATCTGTGTTTGGAGTGAAGAATTCACATCCATTTGCAGAAGACTGAAGCTAGTCAGTGAGATACCCTCTGCTCCTCCCATTCCCCAGCACTTAATACAGTATTAAAGTCTGTTGCAGCAGTTTGAAGGACACACTTTCCTCTGTGCCATAGTTTATATCTAATACAGTAATGTTTATGCTCTTCCCTTGTGCTGGTGGTGAATCTCCCTGTATGACAAACTCTTCATTCTTTGGCATGACCATGGCAAGCCTGCTTTTAGCACTGTTTCCAAACTTAGCCAGTGCTTAGAACAGATTGTTAGAGAGCAGCAAGCTGGCACTGCTAACAAGGTGAGCTCAGGGGTTGTTCTGGGCTCTCAGCTGTCTGCTGGGTCTCTGTCACATCAGAAATAGCCTTCCCTGTTACAGAGATCCCAAAATGCTGCAGCCAACCTGCCTCACACTGGGCTGTAAGAGAGAGACAAGCAGGAGCTCAGACACTGGGTACCAAGTCGAGTCATTTCCACTGATTCTGCTGGCATGAAGAGGGTTTACTCCACACAAAGACTTGTTGCAATGTGTTTCAACAAGGGAAACGCTTTTTCCTTGCTTGGCAGAAATATTTGTAGCCACACCGAAAGGCTAGTTTGTTACCAGGGAGCTTGTAAGATGTTTGTCCACTTAATCACAAAAACAGCAGAGACTGTAAGGGTGTTTCTGCAGGTGCCAGAGGGGCCAGCTGGAAGGGAAAAGCAACAAGAATTCCTCCCCGTGCTGCTCCCATCTGCCAAGTCATGAGTGCCACCCTGCAATGTCATCACTGTGGGACATGGGCACCACGGTGGTGTTTGAGAATGTCCTGTGGGAACCCACAGTCAGCACCAGTTGGTACTGGTTGGCCTTTGGTTGGTATCTGGCAGGACAGAGCCTGGCTGGCCAGAGCAATGGCTGCAGAAGAAAGGTTGAGCCCAAATGAGAGAGGATGGTTTTAAAGGGAGGCATCAACAGCTAAAATCTCCTCCTCTTCCTCAGACAAGCCGGGGGAGTCCTCAGGTTCAGCTTCTCCGGCCTCTGCTGAGTGGGATAGTCAAGCAGCTGTGGATGTTGCTGTAGGAGCAATGACAGCACTGACTGAAAGAGACATTCCTCCTTCTTCCAAGGGGAGCAGTGGCTAAACTGAAGACCTCTCCCTTCTCAAGCAGCTCTGGGAAATTTCTCACAGTGATGAGTTTCGTTCCCTTTAGTGGGTTGGTGATGGATTCTTTGTTGCCATCAATAAAGAAATGTTCAAGGAGGAGGTGCTGGTGAGAAGAGGACTTGGCAGGGCTTTTGAAATGGAGAGCATGAGCAGTTTTCCTCGTCAGCTCGACCTGTATGGGCTGTGCGAACTGCCGTGTCCAGTTTGTCTAACTCCAGGGATGAATTTCCAGCAGAAGAAGTAGCTTCTTCAGCTCCTACAAAGGTACATCAGTTCATTTGCACATGAACTGCTGGGAGAGACTGATGTTCATACCAAATAAGCTCAGACATAAATGTCCTCACTTTCAGTGCTTCTATGGGGATTTCTCAGGTGAAAACCCCAGGGCTGGTTATCACTTAACAGAGCCGTATTGTAACATTTGGGACAGCCTAAACTTGAGGTTTCATATGCCCCTAAAAGTCCTTTTCAATACCCAAGTTTGGCTTTTGTCTAAAACTAACAGTCTTTGTTCTCATGTATTTGTGTTTTTCAGGCTTGAGCTAACTCTCCTCCTTTGCACTTTTTAGCTTCTATGAATCTGTTACAGCCCCAACTTTAAGATGGAGCATCCCCAGGTGCTGGAAAGGTACAAGCCAAGAGTGGGCCACAAAAGGAGAGCCCCAGCTGCATCATGTCTGGATGAGGAGCTGGAGGAAAGCTGCCAAGATCTTCATCCTGCACAGGGAACTGCTGCTGGC